ACTCGGCTAGTGATCCTGATCAAGAATATATATACTTTATAGGGTCGGAAACGCTTCCTTCTGCCTGTTACATTATGCATAGACTTTAGGAAGCTAAACAAAGTTCAAATAAAAGGCAATTATCCCTTACCTTTAATATATGACCTTTTAAACAAGCTAGTCAATAAAAGTAACTCCCTTAGGACAGTTTGCATTTTTGAGGATGCCTATGGGCATAAAAATGCTTCAGCAGTATTTCAACGTTTCGTAAACAAGATTTTTGACGATTTGATTAGAGAGAATAAAGTTATTGTATATTGAATGTAAAAGAACATTTAAAAGCATTAAAAGGCGTATTTATACGATTAGTTAATAATAATAATTTATGCAATCAAGCATAAAATACCTAGGATTCTTTATAACTAAAGAAGGAATAAAAGCTGATAACAGAGATGCAATTAGGAACTTTCCAGTTCCAGAAAAATTGAAAAATGTTCAAAGATTTTTGCGTTTATGCTCATGTCTTAGACGATTCATAAAAGACTTTTTTATTTTAGCAAAGCCACTTTATGATATGATATGGAAAGACAAAGAATTTTCATTAAGGAGAGAGTTGAACTGTTTTCTGAACCTTAAGAAAAAGCTAACAGAATCTCCGGTTTTAGCTATTTATGGTCAAAACGATGATATCGAGTTGCATTGCGATGCAAGCTCTTTAGGTTTCGGTGCGGTGTTAATACAAAAGAAAGGAGATGGGAAATTTCATCCCGTGTTCTATTTCTCAAAGCGAACGACAGATACGGAGGTTAAATACCACAGCTTTGAGTTAGAAACGTTGGCTGTTATATACGCTTTTCGCAGATTTCAAATATACCTTCAGGGAAATCATTCAGCACATCGGTAGAGATAAAATGATAGACGCGATTTTAAAAACATATTGGTTTAAGAACATAAAAGAAAAATGCAATAGTCATATTGAAAATTGCTTGAAATGTGTGGCGTTTTTTCCGAAAACTGGAAAATCAGAAGGTTTCCCAAATAGTATTCCAAAAGGGGATAAGCCATTTCAACTTTTGCATATAGATCATTATGGACCAGTAGCTAAGGGTAGGGCGAATAAATACCTCTTTCTCATTGTTGATGGGCTTACTAAAATTTTAAGATTGTACACAACTAAAGCGACAATTACGAAAGAAGCATTAAGCGACTACTTCAGAGCTTATAGCACACCAAAGTCAATGGTTTCAGATAGAGGCAGTTGCTTTACCTCTAATGAATTCAAGCAGTTCCTGTCGAAAAGAAACGTAAGACACTTAAAAATAGCTACTGGATCCCCACAAGCAAATGGGCAGGTCGAACGAATAAATAGAAGCATTGGTCCTACGATTGCAAAACTTACGGAACCTGAAAACGGTGCACATTGGGACACAGTAATTGAGCAAATAGAGTATACACTTAATAACACTGTACACAGAAGTATTAAAGAGATCCCAAGCAAAATGCTACTTGGTGTACAACAGAAGGCTTAGATTGTAGATGACCTTAGAGAAGGAATTGAAGATATACAGGATATGATTGTAACAGAACGTTTAAAAGAGAATTGAGTAAAGGTTATGTATAATCAAAATCAAGCACAGGCATACAATAAGACTTATTTTGACAATGCAAAGAAAAAGGCGAAGGATTATGCAAAGGGGGATTACGTTATGGTGAAAAATGTTGATAGTACAGCGGGAGTGGCATGAAAGTTGATACCCAAGAATAAAGGCCCATACATTATAGCAAAGGTACTTCACAACGGCAGGTTCTTTTTGAAGGATGTTGAGGCTTCCAAGTCTCTCGAAATCCATACAAGGGTCATTAGAGTGCTAAAAAAAATATAAGACCGTGGATAGGTAAAAAGAAATCATTGTAAAGCAGAGGTTCAATATAACATGTAAAGAAACATAAGAATATTGTAATTAGATTTAACTTTAGTCCTAAGTACATCAGGATCAGGAGATCCAGTACGCAGAATGTCCGAATTGTAGTAGGCTCATCGGATGGTCCTATTATTACAGATATCTCTGGTAAGAGAGACGAATTGATAGTTTTTAAGTAACGGAGACGAAATGCAGACTGGTGTGAACAGTCGAGCGAAACGAACGTGCTAATAAATAGTATAAGTTTGTGCCTTCTGACTTAAAGTTGTTTTCTTCTACAACTTTAAATTTTATTTTTCTTTTCTAATAAGTGCATGTTATATATATATCAATACAATAATTATAGTTAAGATTTCTAAGGAAATATTTAATTTTTCCTAAAATCTTTTGACTTAATCTGGCCCTAGCGGATATCCGAAACGGGGCCTTCACAGATCAGAGGCAGACGCCTTACCCATTGGGCCACCAACCATGAGCGTGTAAGTTCAAGTTATAAGTAACGCATCGGTCTCTCGCGCGGAGGACCCCGGGATCGATACCCACCGCGAAATCCTAGTGTTTCTTAGTGAGATACAATATTACAAATAGATGATATTAATATCATCAGTAAACATCAAAGATTTTTTTTTAAATACCCATATATGTCCTAAAATGTTCAATTTTGTAATAATAAATAAAAATAATATTTTTCTTTTAATTTAATTTAATTTAATTTATTAAATATTTATGAGCAATACAATAAATATTCGGTTAGGTCCAACATTAATATATAACGGACATATTAAGTTTAAAAATTTAATAAATAAATAAATTAAATATTTATAGATAAGATGCAGTAATTTTAAGGGCCACGATGACCTAAAATTGTAGGCCACTCGTGACCTAAAGGGTAGGGCCAAAATGGGCGTCACATGTTTTCGCGGTTTGTGGGCTTTAGAGTGGGCGTGGCATATTCGCGTGACAAACTTGCGCTGCGTATAAGGCTACGGAATCTAAATCTGAAATCCCAATTCTCTATCTTTGATAGTTTCCGAGATATCCACGTTCATATTTACGATTTTTTGAAGTTTGTGGGCGGTTTATGGGCGTTAGGGTGGGCGTGGCAAAATTTTTTTGAGTCAATCGATAGGTATTGATGAGAACATTACATTTCAGTTAAAATTTTTATTCTAGCATCAAAACTGTAGGAGCCACAGTTTTGGGCGGTTTGTGGGCGTTAGAGTGGGCGTGGCACTCTACTGAAACAAACCTGCGCTGCGTAAGAAGCACAGGAATCTTCACGCCAAATCTCAATAGCCTAGCTCCCATAGTTTCCGAGATCTCAGCGTTCATCCGGACAGACAGACGGACATGGCTAGATCGACTCGGCTAGTGATCCTGATCAAGAATATATATACTTTATAGGGTCGGAAACGCTTCCTTCTGCCTGTTACATTATGCATAGACTTTAGGAAGCTAAACAAAGTTCAAATAAAAGGCAATTACCTTTAAAACAAGCTAGTCAATAAAAGTAACTCCCTTAGGACAGTTTGCATTTTTGAGGATGCCTATGGGCATAAAAATGCTTCAGCAGTATTTCAACGTTTCGTAAACAAGATTTTTGACGATTTGATTAGAGAAAATAAAGTTATTGTATATATGGACGACATTATGGTAGCAAGCATGAATGTAAAAGAACATTTAAAAGCATTAAAAGGCGTATTTATACGATTAGTTAATAATAATAATTTATGCAATCAAGCATAAAATACCTAGGATTCTTTATAACTAAAGAAGGAATAAAAGCTGATAACAGAGATGCAATTAGGAACTTTCCAGTTCCAGAAAAATTGAAAAATGTTCAAAGATTTTTGCGTTTATGCTCATGTCTTAGACGATTCATAAAAGACTTTTTTATTTTAGCAAAGCCACTTTATGATATGATATGGAAAGACAAAGAATTTTCATTAAGGAGAGAGTTGAACTGTTTTCTGAACCTTAAGAAAAAGCTAACAGAATCTCCGGTTTTAGCTATTTATGGTCAAAACGATGATATCGAGTTGCATTGCGATGCAAGCTCTTTAGGTTTCGGTGCGGTGTTAATACAAAAGAAAGGAGATGGGAAATTTCATCCCGTGTTCTATTTCTCAAAGCGAACGACAGATACGGAGGTTAAATACCGCAGCTTTGAGTTAGAAACGTTGGCTGTTATATACGTTTTTCGCAGATTTCAAATATACCTTCAGGGAAAGCATTTAAAGGTAATAACAGACTGCAACTCCTTGACTCTTACATTAAATAGGGTTGAACTGAACCCTAGAATCGCCCTGTGGGCAGTCAAACTTCAAAATTACGATTACAAAGTGGATCACCGATCAGGAAAAATGCAGCATGTTGACGCCAAAAGTAGGTGTCACGTGTTGATTGTTGAGGCCAATAGTTTTGAAGATAGTCTGTTAATCTGCCAATCAAAGGACCCAAACATACAACAAATAAGGGATAAATTAGGGAAAAATCAGCTTAAAATGTTTAAAATGAGGAAAGGGGTTGTCTACAGAAAAATGAACGACGACAGAATGATATTTTAAGTCCCTGAAGAAATGAAGAGTCACATTTTAAATAAATAACATAATGAACTTGGGCACATCGGTAGAGATAAAATGATAGACGCGATTTTAAAAACATATTGGTTTAAGAACATAAAAGAAAAATGCAATAGTCATATTGAAAATTGCTTGAAATGTGTGGCGTTTTTCCCGAAAATTGGAAAATCAGAAGGTTTCCCAAATAGTATTCCAAAAGGGGATAAGCCATTTCAACTTTTGCATAAAGATCATTATGGACCAGTAGCTAAAGGTAGGGCGAATAAATACCTTTTTCTCATTGTTGATGGTGTTTGGTCATCTCACTGTTTGTTTTGTTTTCTATGGTCGTTGCGATGCCGACTATCGAAAGCTGCGAGCAGGGGCGTAGCACAGCTGATAATCGCTAATAAATTACCCCCTACAAGTCGGCAAGCAACGATCATACAACAAAATACTAGATTAAAAAACTACTAGATTACCATAAAATACTAACTCTAGATACCAATGTAATAGGGAAGATCTGAAATGAGCGAGTTGGTAACATGGTTGAATAGAAAAAGCTCTTGAAATAAACGCACAATTTACATAGATGACGGCTAAGCAATGTTTTAAATAAAACCAGTGAATTCGCGAAGTTGCATATTTACTCCTGCTTCCTGAGCAAACATTGGCGCCCCCGGGTGGACTCACTGGTTCTTGGCCGTCTTCTAAACTTCGGATTTGCGTATTGTTATAAGTTGGTAAATCACCAAGAGTTATATAACAAGTGCACGCGGCCAATTCGCGTTACGCAACAAATGCATCGGCATCGCACATTGGGTGCATGGTCCAAGTTGGAGACGCATTTACGCGCCCGTGCAACTTTAATTTCATCTTTCGTTGTTGGAGCGCCCGCACAGCCGGAGCGCAGTACCCACGTACATCTCGGCGTAGAGGGAGCGCACATCGGCTGCGTCCATCTCCTCGCCACATTCTCGTCGGCACCCATAGAGAGGTGCAATAGAACGTCGTCTTTCGTCGCTGGAGCACCCGGAGAGGGGTGAGCCCCATACATCATCGTAGAGGGAGCGCACATCGGCTGCGTCCCTAACCTCCATTTCGTCACAGGAGAGCATCAGCGGGCTTCAACCTAACCTCGTCGGAAACACCGAGAAGTACAGCGATCCGTATTGTATATGGTAAAGTGGCCTACGTAAATATATGCAAACGTTATTTCCATCACTTGCACAAACACATATCATAATTCACTTGGCTTTCAGTCACATACACACACAAAGGCCCACCCAACATATACACACACACACATTCGGTCTTGCTTAATCTGCCTGGCCCCAATCTTCGCGCGCTCTTTGGTTGTGTCGGTCTTTTCGCCTTCCTTGCTCCAATCGCGCATAGCCTGGCTGAGGATTTAGTACGGTGGGACAGTGCAGACATTCGATCGCTACCAGCAGCATTGCATTGGCATTTGCTTGTTAGAAACAATCTAAAAACGGGAAGTTGCTAGTCACAATGGGTGGAAGTCGGAAACGTTTTGGCACAACTCCCTCAGCGGAGGACGACACAAACGAATTGCTGGAACAGCTTGAGCGGAATAAGAATCATATAATTAGAATTGAGGCCACAGTTCGTGGTCAAGTAACTCCCCCTAATGCGTGCGAAATGGAATGTCGTTTAGGTATTTTAAATGGATACATCGAAAAGGCGTTCGAGTTGCAACAACAATTAGAAGCAATTAATAACGAATTAGCATGTAGAGAGGAGTTAGAAGAATTATGTGTATCCGCAAAGGCATTATTAATGTCAAATTGTAACCGGCCCGAAGGAGAAAGAAATCATTCTACCTTCGCAAATAACAGTAGTTTAAACTCTTCAGCAAGTCACAGCAGAATACTACCACAAATGAAACTCCCAAAATTCGACGGCAACTATGCCGAGTTCAAAAATTTTATAGGTTTATTTAACAGCTTAGTTCACGATGACGAATCTCTATCAAATGTTGAAAAGTTTAATCATCTGTTATCCTGTTTAGAGAAGGAAGCCTTAGGAACAGTAAAGGCTTACCAGATCACAGAAGCAAATTACGCAAAGCCCATGCGGCCTTGGTCAGGGTTTATGATAATCCGTGCCTAATATACTTTAAAAGTATTTCTCGATTGTTTGAAATCCCAACAATGCAAGCGCCATCCGCCTCGGCGTTGCGATCCCTTATCGACACTGTAACTGCTATATATGAATCTCTTCTCTCGCTCGGCAACGAGAAAACTCTCGCCAACGCAATGATAATTCACATCGTCATGTCTAGAGTAGATCCCAAAACCCGGTCGCGATGGGAAGAGCAACTTAGTTACGATTCTATTCCGTTATGGAAAGATTGCTCAGAGGCGCTTAATAAACGATACCAACACTTAGCGGCTGAGGAATCCACGACAGGCAGAAAAGCTCCCAAACAGGGACAGCTAGGGAACAAGCCCAGATATAGCAAAGCGGCATTAGCAGTTTCCCGACCTGTCGAAGAACTTAAGTCTAAATGTTGCTTCTGCAAGTCAGACAGCCATTTCATCCAGAGTTGTACATCTTACGCTAATATCTCGGTAGAATCTCGGTTCAAGTTCGCAAAGAATGCACCACTTTGCATCAATTGTCTACGCAGAGGACATAGTGTCGCAACATGCCAGTCATCTCGTTGTCGAATTTGTACGAAGGCTCATCACACACTTCTGCATCGGTATACCTCAACCTCCCAAGTACCGTCGAGCAGTCAATTGTCATCGCCTATTGACAATCAGGTAGCCCAACAGTCACTAAGTGCCTCGGTTAGTCAGCCTATGCCGCAAAAGGCAGATCACGTCTTACTTGCAACGGCCCTTGTCGAGGTTTAAAGTCAGTCAGGAGCCAAGCTGTGCGCTAGGATTTTGCTAGACTCAGGGTCACAGGTTAATTTTATAACGGCGGAATTAGTAAATAATCTGCAATTAAAACGATACCGGCATGAGGCTAAATTCTCAGGCATTGGGAATTCCGCGTGTTCAGCTAGCTTCGCAGTCCAGACGACAATTGGGTCGCGATTAAACTCCTTCGAAGCGGCAGTTGAATGCATTATTTTACCGTCAATCTCAGGGTATCGTCCAGAAGCAACCGCAATATTTTCCGATTGGATTCGTAATGATATCTCCTTAGCAGACCCTTACTTTTACAAGCCCAAACGCGTCGACATGCTGATCGGCGCTGAGTTGTTTTTCGACCTGCTTAGGGAAGGACAAATACGGTACAAGCACTCAGGTCCAACTCTACAAAATACTGTCTTTGGCTGGGTAGCGTCAGGGACCTATAAAGAAAATCCGCCTGCACGATGTATCTCATATTCCACTCTAGTAGCTACTGAGGACAACAATTTGGATCTCACGCTAAGGAAGTTCTGGGAAATTGAAAGAATACCCGACTTAAGGAAATCGCAGCTCTATACCCCTGATCAAGTGATGAGTGAAAAATCGTTTGCTAGCACCATCTCGCGTGACTCTACAGGAAAATTTGTAGTTATCCTGCCTTTCAAATGGAGTTCTTCGTGTCTCGGTTCCTCGTATGAAACTGCACGACGTTGGTTTCTGTCCTTAGAACGGCGTATGAAAGGGAACCCAAAAAAATAATTCGTTGTATATCCAGTTTATGAAGGAATATTTAGCTCTCGGTCACATGGAGGCTACAGATAATAGGATACCCAACGAGCCTCATTATTTTATTCCGTATCAGTGCGTTCTCCGACCTGAAAGCTCTTCGACTAAATTAAGAGTCGTATTCGACGCGTCGTGCAAAACCACTTCCCAAATTTCATTGAATGAAATTCTCTTGGTAGGCCCAACAATTCAGCCTTGCCTGTATGCCACGCTGCTTAAATTCCGGTTCCATAAATTGGCTATGTCGGCAGACATTACTAAAATGTACAGACAAGTGGTATTAGATGAGGCCCATAGAAAGTTTCAGTTAATTGTATGGCGTGAGACCCCGCAAGACCCTCTACAAATTTATCGGCTTAACACCGTTACGTATGGTACGGCAAGTGCTCCTTTCCTTGCAATACGGTGTTTGAAGCAGCTTAGCGAGATCTACTCCGATTCTCTTCCCTTAGCTTCACAGGCTCTAGCAAATGATTTTTACGTGGATGACTTGTTAACAGGGGCCGATTCCATCCGTGAGTTAAGGAAATTGCGAGGGGAAATATCAGAGATTTTAGATTCCGCAGGGTTCGTCTTGGCTAAGTGGGCGTCGAATTGTACCCCCAAAGAACGACAGGTCGCCGAGCCAGAAGTACTTATTGGAGAAGACGCCGATACGAAAACTTTGGGTCTCACTTGGAGTCCAAAACAGGATACGTTCAAATTCAACGCCCAGAATCTACAGCTTGAAGACCCACCCACAAAGCGATCCATGCTTTCATTTGCAGCACGGCTGTTCGATCCGTTAGGACTCATTTGCCCTATCGTTACCCTTGCAAAGATATTAATTCAAAAACTCTGGTCGCTACAAATTGGATGAGACGACGAAATACCCGCCGACGTACTGCATCGTTGGAAGACGGTGTCATCTTGCTTTACAGATTTAGAAACGTTAAACATCCCTCGGCATGTCGGAACTCAGTTTGGCGGCACTTATCAAATCCACGGATTTGCGGACGCGTCAGAAGATGCTTACGGTTGTTGTCTGTACGTAAGGTCAGTGACCTCAGAGGGAATAAAAGTTAGGTTGCTAACAGCCAAATCCAGGGTAGCACCAATAGACTTAGTATTCCACGACTAGAACTCTGTGCGGCTCACCTCTTAGCGAAGTTATGGAGTGATGTGCAAACGCTTAATCTTTACCGCGTCGAGCAGGTTACTATGTGGTCGGACTCTGAAGTTGTTCTCATTTGGTTGCGCACTCATCTGTCAAAACTTAAAACATTCGTCGCAAATAGGGTTTCGGCTACTCACGAACTGGCTCCAACTGCAGTCTGGCGACACTTCCCGACTAACTTCAATCCAGCGGACCTACCCTCTCGAGGGACTACGGTCAAAGATCTCGATACGACGCTATGGTTTGAAGGCCCTTCGTTTTTGTCCATGGACTCGACTCATTGGCCAGTTAATCAGCACTTGGCTGACACGCCCCTCGAAAGCCAACTCGAAATGAAACCGCCAGTAATCGCCCATACGGTTGCTGTCGTCTCAAATCATCCGCTGCTACGATTAGTGGAAAATTCTTCTTCCTATGTGAAGGTTGTGAGAATTACAACATTTATCTTTCGTTTTGTTTACGGCAGGGCCTGGAAATTGTGGAACGACCACGTCCTATCAGCCACCGAGCTTAGTTTTTCGTTCTCTTATATCGCGCAGGCTGTTCAGCGTGAATCGTTTGCAGACGAATTCAATAAATTAAAGAAAAATTTGCCATTACCCAGTTCTTACCAAAAACTTAGCCCATTTATCAGCAACGAAACTTTCGGAACCCGTACTTTAACATTGGTGCGGGTGGGCGGTCGACTAGCGCACGCGGATCTAGAACCCAGTGCCAAATTCCCATCGAGCACCTGCACTATGCTAATTGCCATGCAGGACCACGAGCCCTAGTCGGCCTGCTTCGGCAGACAATTTGGTTGATCAATGCACGACGCGAGTGCAGTGCTGTTGTGCGCCGATGCACGCACTGTTTCCGGTATAAGCCACGGTTAATGTCGCAAATAATGGGAAATCTGCCTCTTGACCGTGTCAGAATCAGTCGACCCTTTAGAATAAGCGGAGTCGATCTCTTCGGTCCAATCCGAGTGTCGCTAGGAGTGCGGGGCAAGGCAGCGTTAAAAATGTATGTCGCAGTATTCATATGTTTTTCAACGAAAGCGGTTCACCTAGAACTATTGAAGGATCTCACTTCTAACTCATTTATCCTCTGTCTCAGCAGATTTGTTGGGCGGCGCGGCCCGCTCGATCGACTCTACTGCGACAATGCAACCAATTTTGTTGGTTCCTCACGGCTGCTTCAGGAGATGGCCTCCGATGTCCGCAGCACACTGGGAACGTAAGGCGTCCATCACCAGGTTGAGTTCGTCTTCATTCCGCCCCGGTCGCCTCATTTCGGGGGCCTATGGGAGGCCGCCGTCAAGTCCGCCAAACACCTCTTTTTGAGGACCGTCGGAAACGCCTTGCTGAAGGAGGACGAAGTCCAGACGATCCTGGTTGAAGTGGAAGCAGTGCTTAACTCGCATCCGCTAATAGCTGACAGCAGCAACCCTAACGACGGAGAGGCTATTACTCCAGCCCACTTTCTGGTAGGCACCACGCTCGCTGCTCTACCCCCAGGATCGGCACCTCCTCATCCGGACGACGACCTAACTCATCTACAACGCTGGCAGCTTATATCAGCCATCAAGCGACGGTTTTGGCGAGACTGGTCCCGTGACTACATAGCTGGGCTGCAGCAAAGAGTTAAGTGGACAAAGGAATCGGCCAACCTTCTACCAGGAACCATCGTCGTCATCAAAGAGGACAATTTACCGCCCCAGAAGTGGCTGCTCGGCAGAGTCACCGAAGTAACGCACGGATCGGATGGCAAGGTGCGCGTTGCTCTAGTAAAAACCAAGTAAGGCGTATACAAACGCTCAGTACATCATCTGGCACCTCTTCCCATTAATTGAAGGCCTACAGCGCTTCAACGCGGGCGATGTTTGGTCATCTCACTGTTTGTTTTGTTTTCTATGGTCGTTGCGATGCCGACTATCGAAAGCTGCGAGCAGGGGCGTAGCACAGCTGATAATCGCTAATAAATTACCCCCTACAAGTCGGCAAGCAACGATCATACAACAAAATACTAGATTAAAAAACTACTAAATTACCATAAAATACTAACTCTAGATACCAATGTAATAAGGAAGATCTGAAACGAGCGAGTTGGTAACATGGTTGAATAGAAAAAGCTCTTGAAATAAACGCACAATTTACATAGATGACGGCTAAGCAATGTTTTAAATAAAACCAGTGAATTCGCGAAGTTGCATATTTACTCCTGCTTCCTGAGCAAACAGATGGGCTTACTAAAATTTTAAGATTGTACACAAAAAGCGACAATTACAAAAGAAGCATTAAGCGACTACTTCAGAGCTTATAGCACACCAAAGTCAATGGTTTCAGATAGAGGCAGTTGCTTTACCTCTAATGAATTCAAGCAGTTCCTGTCGAAAAGAAACGTAAGACACTTAAAAATAGCTAGTGGATCCCCACAAGGAAATGGGCAGGTCGAACGAATAAATAGAAGCATTGGTCCTACGATTGCAAAACTTACGGAACCTGAAAACGGTGCACATTGGGACACAGTAATTGAGCAAATAGAGTATACACTTAATAACACTGTACACAGAAGTATTAAAGAGATCCCAAGCAAAATGCTACTTGGTGTACAACAGAAGGGTTAGATTGTAGATGACCTTAGAGAAGGAATTGAAGATATACAGGATATGATTGTAACAGAACGTTTAAAAGAGAATTGAATAAAGGTTACGTATAATCAAAATCAAGCACAGGCATACAATAAGACTTATTTTGACAATGCAAAGAAAAAGGCGAAGGATTATGCAAAGGGGGATTACGTTATGGTGAAAAATGTTGATAGTACAGCGGGAGTGGCATGAAAGTTGATACCCAAGAATAAAGGCCCATACATTATAGCAAAGGTACTTCACAACGGCAGGTTCTTTTTGAAGGATGTTGAGGCTTCCAAGTCTCTCGAAATCCATACAAGGGTCATTAGAGTGCTAAAAAAAATATAAGACCGTGGATAGGTAAAAGGAAATCATTGTAATGCAGAGGTTCAATATAACATGTAAAGAAACATAAGAATATTGTAATTAGATTTAACTTTAGTCCTAAGTACATCAGGATCAGGAGATCCAGTACGCAGAATGTCCGAATTGTAGTAGGCTCATCGGATGGTCACATTATTACAGATATCTCTGGTAAGAGAGACGAATTGATAGTTTTTAAGTAACGGAGACGAAATGCAGACTGGTGTGAACAGTCGAGCGAAACGAACGTGCTAATAAATAGTATAAGTTTGTGCCTTCTGACTTAAAGTTGTTTTCTTCTACAACATTAAATTTTATTTTTCTTTTCTAATAAGTACATGTTATATATATATCAATACAATAATTATAGTTAAGATTTCTAAGGAAATATTTAATTTTTCCTAAAATCTTTTGACTTAATCTGGCCCTAGCGGATATCCGAAACGGGGCCTTCACAGATCAGAGGCAGACGCCTTACCCATTGGGCCACCAACCATGAGCGTGTAAGTTCAAGTTATAAGTAACGCATCGGTCTCTCGCGCGGAGGACCCCGGGATCGATACCCACCGCGAAATGCTAGTGTTTTTTAGTGAGATACAATATTACAAATAGATGATATTAATATCATCAGTAAACATCAAAGATTTATTTTTAAATACCCATATATGTCCTAAAATGTTCAATTTTGTAATAATAATTAAAAAAATTATTTTTCTTTTAATTTAATTTAATATAATTTATTAAATATTTATGAGCAATACAATAAATATTCGGTTAGGTCCAACATTAATATATAACGGACATATTAAGTTTAAAAATTTAATAAATAAATAAATTAAATATTTATATTTAAGATGCAGTAATTTTAAGGGCCACGATGACCTAAAATTGTAGGCCACTCGTGACCTAAAGGGTAGGGCCAAAGTCAAAAAATTAAAATTTTAGGCAGTGCATTAACAAAAAAAAAATGTTAGTCCATTTTAAATTTTTGGGTCTATGCAACACCTAAAATCTGTTTAATTATTTTTACGGGTGTGTGAAGTCAGGTCAAAAATTCCAAGTAATTGTAATCCTTTTCTCTTATCGTGCCGACAAGGTATTTACAATAATAAAACTGAGAATTCGAGTATTTTGTTAGTATAATATTTTGTCTAATTGTATCTTTTCAAGTGTTTCAGATGTGCCAGAGCAAAGATTTGTGGAAAACCAAGTAGGACAAGTAGGACATGATGATCACTTTGTAGGGTATTTTTTAGGTATGTTTTGACATTTTGTCGTCCTTTTTTCCTTTCTTCAGCCGTTAAACATAAATAAATTACTTTTGGTTAATTTTTGTGAATTAGAAATTGAACAACTTAATTTGTTTAATTTTAACCCTAAAACTTTGCAACACACCCAAATTGCATAATGATACCTAAATCCCAAATGTTATCTGGTAGCGGTACACTTTTAAGCTGAAAGCGTAACTTTTGTGACGCCTCATTTGTAAAGATCGAGGCGCACTATTATAGATACAGTTTCCCATAATAATATTCTCGTATAATTACATAGAATTTAAGGCATGTAATTAGATATAAGTCCACTGGAGGATAAATAAGTTAAATTCAAAACCCAACATTCTGTCTTATTTTCTAAGCGATAGTACGATAGTAAGCTGAGGTCACATTAGGTACAGCAGTCAAAGTCATCGACTACCGGATCAAGAAGATGCCTTAACCACTGTTAAGTAAACCCTAGTACTCAGATCGGCTAAGAGTTTCACTAGTGTGACCGAAGTTTTCAAAGTTCACCCGCAATGCATGTTGCATGGTCTTACTGTCAAGCAACTGGGTTTGTTGCCAAACAAAAAACAAATCAATTGGAGAAATTTAAAAAGGAGGAGTCTGCTAGTACACAAAGAAATTTAAATAAAAATAAATGGAATGTTCAACGAATGTTTTTATTTATGTAAATTAGTCATTTTAAGCTTCCTTCTCGTTCCACGGATGCTTCGCCGTCTTTCCCGCTCCATCGCAGTACAGCTCCGAGTCCCAACAGGCATATTGGACTTTGGGGAAGTGGGAGAACGGGGCTGATCCGCTGATGCTGCAGGAAGTCGCCCAGCATCCTGGCAGTGGCTGGCTATGGCTTCTCCAACTGTTCCTTAGCGGGCGCCCTATTTTCCTCCTCCCTATAGAAGCCGGCGGGTCCTCCAGCTCCGCTTAAGCTGCCAAGTAGCTGGTGGTGGTGTCTTCCGTAGTCCTATTGGAGAGGTCGTCGGAGATCGTATTACTGGTGGTTCTGCTAAAAAGATTCTTCTATTAGTACAACTCAACCAAATTCTTTGCGAGGACGCGCGCGGCAGGCATGTCCATGTAGAGATCGAAGTCCCACTCGGCATGTTCCATCCCACTGGGATTCTCTAGTGGATCTCCTCCAGCACTTCAACTATTCTGGGCATTTGCCCCTTTTGTGGAATTGCTTTTCCTTACATTTTTAATTTTTAGTTTCCACATCGCCTTTGCACGAACATCGGAGTAACGCGCTGAAAAACAGACCCGACAAAAAGCGTTAGCCGCGTATTTGAGTCTCGCTCACTCCTATGGTTAGCTCGCGGTTTTCGTCGATCTGAGTACTAGGCTTTACAGTTGAACAGTGGTCACACACCCCCTATCGAATATCGAAAATAACAATCGGGATATCGATAAGAGTTATAGAGCACGCGGAGCGATATCGAAAAGCCCTCTTGTTTTTTCGATCGGAACTCTCGGAACAGATATAAGTAAATAAGTTAACCAAATATACTAATTCTACAGTAAATCTTCCGTCTTTGCATTTATTAACCCGACCCCGTAGTTAGGCTGAGGAACAGTGGAACTCCATGGCCAGCAGCGTATCCGTAACCAATATGAATAACTAACCGCACTTTGCATTGCCGATGGCAAATCACTGGCAAGTAACTGATCGTAGATTGCACTGACAGTGGTTATTCCTTGGCCAATCACTAACTTTAGATCGCGCTACCAGTGGCCATCCCTGGTAAGCCCACTACCTTTAGCTTGTCTGGTCAGTGGCAAATCCCTGACAAGTAGTTAACCAAAGATTACGGTGCCCGTGGCCACTGCGCGGCCATTAATCTTTTGTTTGCGCTGCTACTGGTCATTCCCAACTTGGCTACTGCTTGATTTGTTAAGTGTGGTCATGCTGAGCACCTTTGGGCACGAACATTTTCTCCCCCATTGAGGGGTACTCTCTATTAAGTTGTGATTTCGGTCAGCCCTTGACCGAATTGTATAGGAAGCACCTAACAAATCAATGACCGAGATGGATCCTTCCTTCATGTTTGTGATTCAGGTCACTCATACCTTCTTGATGATGCTTAACACTCCCCGTTGCGATAAAATTTACATTACCGTGGGGACTGAAATTGTGCCCTCGTAGGACTTGATTATTTGGCACATCTGTGGTATGTGGACTTTCTGCAACAACACTTAGGTATTTCTTGGTTAAATTTAGAAATGTTGAAAAAAAGTCAGGTTTCTTATTGGTTTTTCTTTTGTAGTATAAAGTGCTGCAATTAACTATTATGTATAGCGGTTGATTCTCGATCGGACGAGTCAGTCTCGCTGGTTCTTGATTGGCTACATATATCTTCAGGTTCCCTTATTTTATGATCCATTAATGCTAAGTTCGTTAAATGAATCCTTTCTTTGGCGCATAAGCAGCATTCGGTCCTGCAAGATCATCCCTGTCTTCTACCAGAGTAGGGTCGATTTCCGTATCAGATGACGTTTCTTTATTGAGATAACCTGTGATTACATAACCAAGCCTTGTTCCAAAGGTTTATTAGGTCCTAGTTCAAGAAGTTCACCGGTAATTACACGAGAATACACCTCAACCCCTAAGGTTAGGTCAACGGGTCCAGGTTGCCGAAAGTCAGGATCGGCTAACGGCAGCCCCCCGGGAATATTAAGATCGGTATCAATCGGTACTGACGGTGGGAATAATATCAATCGGTAATGACTGTGGGAATAATAAATACCTCTATTAGTGTTTCAAAACCTGATGTAACTTATGAGAGCTTTAATGTTGATTTAATTGCTGTTGATATTTTTCCTCCGATTCCAGATATTTCAATCGGTGACCTTTCCTTAAAAGATAGTAGATCTGCCATTTTCCTTGAGATAAGATTCACCTGTGACCCACCATCTATTACAGCGCGACATGTTTGTAATTGACCGTTTGGCCCTTGTTATGAGACCTTGGCGGTCGCGAGCAGAGTATATCCTCCTACGTCGTCGTAGCCTGCAATGGCTACTGCGCCGGCCACTGGATTTCTAGTCGGTCCTTGGTGTAACAGTGAATGATGCCGTTGCTGGCAGACTCGACAAGTGGTCGGTGATCCACAGTTTTCAACTTTATGAGCTGTAGACAAAAAATTTGTGCATGCTCCTACTTGAATAATGGCTTGGCGCCATGCTTTGGGGTCCATTTGCTGGACACGGCTACATGCTCTAAGATTATGTTGTCCTAGGTGACAAATCTTACAGCTCTCTTCGTTGTGAACTGACTGCAAGCGCGCCACTCAATAAATGTCAGTACACTCCATAACGTTGGAATTTCCGTTGGTGCATCCGCTGAATTTTCTAGAGCAGCTAGAGAGTGCTGGTCTAGTTTTCTTCTGATAAGAAAACACAGGATTGGATCCCAGGATTTTGTGCTAATATCGAGGTTTTTAAGAGTACTTATTGAGTTTTTTATGGTGTCATGTAAGACCCTTAGTTGGCGCGAGGAGCTGTCTATAGGCTTATGGTCAATAATTTTTGCTATGGCGGCGAATATTTTTTCAGTATTTTTCCGTTCTGGTACCTGGCCTTTAAAGGCAACCAGGTGTCGTCATAGCCACCCTGTGAGAAGGCTGTGTCTGTCAAGACATTTCTCGCTTCACCACGAAGCGAACTCTGTAGAATATGTAGTTTTTGACTGGCCGAATATGGTTATGTACCAATTTCACAAAGAGATCATGGAACCGTGGCCAGTCTAGATACTCGCCGTTGAACTCCGGAATGCTAATTGGCGGAAGTGCCAAGATACGGCTCATTGGCGCGTCGTTTTCTCGAAGCAGGTTCATTTCGTATTCCTCGTATAACGTGTGGAATTGAGCTAGCTCTGCTTCTGCCAGAGCTGCGGCCCCAGGTGTGCTATCCAATTCGTCGTGGACTTGCCTCAGTAACGCCCAATGGAGATCCAGGTACCTTTGTAGGGCTGGGGTGACAGTTGGGGCGGTCGAGGCTAATGTTAAT